CAATGCTGTCATCGACATTTTAACGCTGAAGAAGCAGACTCCTCTCCACCTGGCAGCTGGAGCCGACCAGATAGAAGTGTGCAAACTTTTGCTGGAATTAGGAGCAGATATCGATGCTACCGGTGGGACAAACAGGGGTTTGGTTTTGGAGGAGTCAGTCTAAGTGTGGAGGGGTTTGCAGATGAGGATGGCCAGAAGCCCATTCACGCCGCCTGCCAAAACAACTACTCTGAGGTGGCGAAACTCTTCCTTCAGCAACACCCCAGCTTGGTGATGGCCACCACCAAAGACGGGAACACTTGCGCGCATATTGCGGCCCCTCAGGGCAGTGTGACGGTGGTGGAGGAGTTGATGAAGTTCCATAGACAGGTAACAAACACAACACCCTTACTTAACACGTAAATGGAGCTGGTGCTTTTGCACTATTTATCAATCTGTAATAAAAGGCGAGAGAAAATTCTGTCTTGTTTAAAGACGAAAATTTTTGAGGCCAAATACCCAACAAACAGTTTGTGAAAAATGAATCCGCCTCATCAATATATGCAGAACTTATCTGATACCTAAGTGTTTCGATATTAAAGTTTGCCTGGTCATCAGCAGGCGGAAATAAGTGAGTGCTTCATCTGCCTCCACGTGAACTTTAATGTCAAAACAGCATTACACTAAAAGGCCTAAACAGTGGTTTTACTTACCATCTTTAAAAATCCCAGTTTCTCGCCGCTTCTTGGAATCGCCATCGGCGAACGGTTGATTCAACGCCACAAACTGCATTGAAAATCCAAAGACAAAGATCGCCAAAACTGCCAAGAATCTAGCAAGGTCTTTCATCAAATTGCCTGCAAACCAAACAGAACATAAACGAATCCCAACACCAAACTATCATTAAACATTAACAAACCCTACCAATAATGATGGCCCACGGTCCAAACAAGTGATGGAAAGACAAAAAGTCCAGAATCTGCACACAGGCCAAAAGGAAGCTGAGGGCAAACAGTTGATTCCTGCAATACATCAGGGTGGGCCAGTAGAGCACGTCCACAAACAGCAGGCCCATCAAATGGGTGCCCACGCCGAAAATGCTGAAAAGTAGCACGGACACCTTGATCCATCCAAGCCCGCTCTTGTCGCTGGGATTGGTCAGCTCGAACAGCAGAAGCCCACTGAGCCACACCAGCAAGATCCATTCATACCTAAAACCTCCCCTGTAGACCTGTTCCAGGCAACTACCCAGTGGCATACCAGTAGGGAATCATGCTCCCTCTGTTGATGGTGGGATATGGAGGGGTGATGCCCACAACGAGCAGAAACAGCATCAGGTAGATGTGCGAGGTGAGGTATGACATGAATTTGATTATGGGCACTTTATGGTACTTGTGCCCTAAGGGCAAGGTGAAGGCTATCCACACTGGGGGGCAGATTATGAAGAAGACGAACAAGAGGAGCGTCCTCCAAGCTGCCCAGTTGAGCGCCCCGCGCCACAGCTCCTGAAAGCGGACGCATTTTTCAGCATAGTGGAGGATCGTTTTGACTCCCCAATACCTGCAAATAGCGTTGAACCACTGTGTGGGCAATCACCTCCTTTTGCTCATTCTCGATGAGAACATCCAGGAACTCCACATTCCTTCTATCAGTAGCAGTCAAAATCTTCCCCGCTGAATCGGCCCCAGCAGCTAAAACCCCCCCATACAACTAGTTGAGACGTTTTCCTTTGCGTAAAATCCCACCTAGAGCTAGCAGCTCCGTAGCCATGGCTTCGCAAAACTTCCCACTGGCTATCAGATCCTTGGCTCTCTCCTTCTCCTTATTGGAGAGCAAAATCAGGATATTAGAGAGTTTGGCTGCAGTGTCCACAGGAGCTGGAGACACCAGGATGAACTCCTCTATGGGGCGATTGTTGTGGTTCTTGGAGCACACCATCAGGTTGTACACGAACCTATAAACCCAGCATGTTTTCGGAGCAGGGGTGGGTTTCAGTCGGCCCACCTTCTATCCTCCATCAGGGCGTAGGTGTCGTGCTCTTTGCTCATCAAGTACTCCAAAACGGCGTGATGCCCTTCAGAAGCCGCAAACCAGATGGGGACCGCCCCCAAGTTCGTTTCGGACTTTGGGGAAGCCCCACTTTCCGTTAGGAGCTTCACCACTTCGACGTAACCAGCTCTGGAGGCGCAATGCAATGGAGTCCAGCCGTTCTTGTCTGGAGCGTTGATTTCCGCGCCTTGCCCTACGAATCCAGACTTAGTCAAAGTTAATTTGGACTCTACAAGGCAGCCAATGAACGGCTCCAACCTAGCAGGACTTCCACCATCTGGTAATGTCCATGAGTGGCAGCGATGTGCAGGCCAGTTTTCCCATGTCGGTCTTTGCTCTCCAGCAGCTCTGCTGATCTGCTCAACAGCAAGCCTACAACAGTCACATGGCCCCCATAGCACGCCAAGTGCATCGGGTTGTAGCCCTAAAGGAGAGTGTTCAAAAATCAGTTGCCAGCTTAAACTTTAAAGAGTCTAACCCGCGAGGACTTACATTCTCGTGAGTGGTGGCATCCACTTGCACTCCCGCCGAATTGAGCAGGAGCCTGACGACGTTCTCCTTGCCAGAAAACGACGCCAGATGGAGAGGAGTCATGCCTGACTCATTCCCTAGCGCGGGCACCAAAGAGGCCCCATTGGGGGAGTCCGATTTGACGGTTCCTGGAACGTGCGTCAGCAGCTCCCTCACTGTGTCAGCTTGCCCGAAGTAGGCCGCCACATGCAGCGGAGTGACTCCCAACTTTTTGCTCGTCACTCGCAGATTGTTGGAGGAGCGAAGCACCTCCAGCACCTGCAGATGGCCGTATTGGGCCGCCAGATGCACCGCTGTGAACCCGCCTGGACAACACCAGCCTCCAAATGTTCAAAACATAACTCCCCAAAACCACTCACCTTTGTTCTCATCTGTTACTGAAGCCCCCGCCCTCACCAGGGCCTTGACTACTTCCGAGTGCCCGCCCTCAGCAGCCATTTGCAGGGGAGTGGCATCAGTTACTTTATTCCTCGCGGAAATCACTCCCTACCAGGAAGCACCAGCTCCATTTGCGTTTTAGGTAAAGGTGTTGTGTTTGTTACCTGTCTATCGAACTTCATCAACTCCTCCACCACCGTCACACTGCCCTGCGCGGCCGCAATATGCGCGCAAGTGTTCCCGTCTTTGGTGGTGGCCATCACCAAGCTGGGGTGTTGCTGCAGGAAGAGTTTCGCCACCTCAGAGTAGTTGTTTTGGCAGGCGGCGTGAATGGGCTTCTGGCCATCCTCATCTGCAAACCCCTCCACACTTAGGCTTGCTCCTCCAAAACCAAACCCCTG